CCCCCCTCTTAAAGTTGTCTACAATAGAAGGGGCCTGAGTTATAGCAAACCGAAAAAAAAAAACAAAAAAAAAGATGTATAGAATCCTGAAGTGTTCAGGTCCTGAACAGCCGAGAACTTTTCGGAATTAGAAAAAAAAAATAAAAAATTAATAACAGCAAAAGAACAAAGTTCAACAAACACGAATCCATTCGAAAAGAATGCGAACTATGAAATAGTAATGAAAATGTTAAAAAAATGAAAGATTCTTCTTTGCCTGTGTACGCTGGTGCATGTGTCTATCGAACTCTGTCCTGTTGCGTTCGCTCTCCCTGTGCCTATTGGATGCTCTCCCTCCCCGCCTTATCCTACCCACCCCTATTAACCGCCCCCCACCCCGTACGTTGTCGATCTCACAGGTCAGACGCAAGCTGCCTAAGGTGAATCGTGAGCTGGCTGCCAGACTGATGCGCGAATCTGAGCAGCTGGGAGATAAGTCAAAGAAGAAAAAGGCAGGAGTGGCTGCTAGTCTGCTGAGCGATGAGCGTTTTGCATCCATGTTCAAGGATAAGGTGTGTGAAGGGTCCCTACTTGTTTTCTTTCTTTTTTTGTTCCCCTTTTTGTGAATATCCGCCTCCCTCTCTCTTTGTCTTTGTGTTTTTTTTTTGCCTGCTTGAACTACTATTCTGTTCTCTTTTTTTTTTCCTTTTTTTCCGTCAAGCTTCTGGAGAACTGGCAAGTCCATTCAAGGGAATTCCGCCAGCAAGTCCATTCTAGGAAAGTCCACCAGCAAGCCAGCAAGTCCATTGGAGGGAATTCCGCCAGCATCTATCACTGTGGTTGTCGCATACCGTATAGGTGCAGACCAGAACAAGAACCGACCCTTCAATACAAAGTATAAGATAGCACAGCGGAAGACTTAGATACCAATGATCCGAACAATCAATGTTGCAATGCAGCCCCGAACATACATCATCATCATCATGGTGTGAAGGGGTCTGGCGCTTCGCACAAGAAGACTGCGCCAGACCCCTTGATGGAGGTGGGGTTAGACGAAGAAGAAGGGAAGATGGGAATGTCGTCAACACCAAGTGTTCAGCACAGGCCCAAATAGTCCCTCGCCAACATGTCTGAATCCCAATGTCGAGTCTGGATCCAATGTCGTCAAGTCTCATGTCACAACGCTCTCTCTCTCTGTAGTAGTCCGCTGATACTGAGAAGTCAGGTGGTGAGAGGGGAAGAAGAGATGGTGGACTTAGAAGAAGAGGAAGAAGAACTCTCTCTCTCTCTCTCTC